TACTGAAAGCTCCTTTAAGAGCTTTAAATATGCATCTTCATGGCCTTTTCAAGTTTAAATAGAGGCCATTAAAAGCCAGTAAAAATAAACTTGCTTTTTCTTTTTAGAGTCAGATATGTTACTGCCTTTGCTCATGAAAGTAATCTCTGAAAGGCTCATGAATTTTTCTCATAACTTTCAAGTTTGTGCAGGCTTTGCTTCCTGAGCAACCAAGAATCTTCACTGGGGTACAGTGAAGCTTCTGTTGAACTCCAGTCTCCTCCTGCAGGGGTGCTAATGTCATCCCTGCTGAACTGGTTGTCTATTTATTTTTCTTCCTAAACTGAAAGTGGTACCAAGAATATCCAGTAGGGGTAGGGGGAGATACACACAGCCTTTCAACCCACACCTGGGAATTCTTCACCATTCTGAGATTCTTAGGCTACAAGAGAAAGACCCTGTAGTTCCCACTTTAATTGTCTGAGGACAGGACAATGCGAAGTTAAATTGTATCAGTCACTACCCTCTGGGCCATGTCAGTAGAAGATGACAGCTTTTGGGTCAGCTATCACAGTCTTACCAATTGGCTGTGGAAAAGCTGTTTCCCTCCAACCTACTTTCAGAGAGTTGGAAGCTTCTGTGGTGGGTGGCTGAGCTGGGTTACAGGTGGGGTCTGACTCAGGAAGGAAGCATGATGAATGAGGTGGCTTGTGCATCCAGGAGGGAACAGGACAGAGGGAAAGTGGCGTGTAACAGTTGGATCTCTCCTGCTCGTGTCTTTAGGAACTCTTGAGTGGTGTGGCTGGACCTTATCCTATGCTCTTCTTATAGCCCTCTAAATTAAGATTGTTATCCCCACTTGACACAAGTGGAAAACAAGGCTAGCAAGTGCGGTGGCTGTCAAGGTAAATCCATAGTGGCAGGGCTGAATTGTGATCCAGGGCTGATTACAAATCTTCTGCTCTCTGCTACATAGGGGAAGAGGTAAATTCACCAGCTTCTCAGCTAGAATGAAGTTACAGATAAGACTTATAATTCACAATTTAATCTTTTAAAGTTAAAAATCTTACTATTCTTTAATAAAATTTGGAAGCACTCCTGTATGTTAGTTTACTAAAGGCAATCAAGGGGGGGGTGCGAGAGTTAACCAAGCATGAGTTTCAGCCTCATAAATGTGAAGCAAGTAGGGAGGAAAAAAGAAAATAAGACTCAAGAAAACCATGAGAAACTATGGTGGAGGGGCTCAAGAGGCACAGTCAGAGGTCAAGTAGGTATCTCTGTTCTTGTTCAAACCCTGGTCACCTGGGCTGTTTGGCCAAGAGCGGAAGCTCCTTATTGGAGCTGCTTAGGCTGTGTCATCCAGGGTTTTCAGTGGCCAAGGCTACCCCGAACCTATGGGCCTAGGTTTACCTCGACTTCACTTGCACAGGTTTCCGGCTGCTCCACCCAACCCTTGCCCCAATTTCAGCCCCCATCTCTTCTCTGGCAAGGCTTTAGTAGTTGCAAGGTAACTGGTTCACAGGCGCTACCGCGGGGGTCAGGAAGTCCACACACACCCTTTCCCACCAGCCTTTCCTGGAGGCTGCAGCAGAGCATCGTCCTGTCCTTCCTAGTTCCAGCACACTTCACCTGGTGCTCCAGGGCCCAGACATTAGAAGTACACTAAATGAAAATGATGACTCACCAATGGAGCATGCAGGGCCTTGGAAGCTTTATTCCCTCTCCCAAACAGGCTGTGCAACTTGCACCCAGAGCACCACACAGTGTCCCAAAGCAGGACTAAGAGAATCATATGCTGTTAAGACCACTAAAATTAAGTATGTCTATACTACACCATATGTCCACCATTGGTTGGCTCATGTTACCCTTTTGCTCAGTACATAAAAAGCATTTGTTGAAGCAGAAGGTTAGTTAACATTAGGTCTTTTACCTCCTTATTAACTGGCTCCTCTACCCAAAGCATCTCATTAGTTTTCTCGGTTTTATAAATAGCCATGTTTCAGTTTTCTGTGCAATAGAGTACAGCAGTGGTATCATAGACCCATTTCCTAAATCATCTCCATTTACTCTGGAAGAGATTTTAATTCTTAAACATGAATGTGGATGTCTCTCCCACTGAAGGAATTCAATCACAGAAAAGGGAACGCTTAATTTATCAGGGGCTGGGAAATATGCCTGTTTGTTTCCAGATGGACCCTTCTCTGCACCATTTTGTTCCAAACAATGTTCTTGTGGTAGATACATGACAAAAGGGTCCTTGTTCCCCCCTTGTACCCCCTTCCCTGTTATGCTACCCTGCAGCTCTTCCTATGGGGTGTATTTCCCTATCTCTTGAATCTACATGGTCTTGTGACTTGCTTTGGCCATAGAAATGGCAGAAGGAAAGTGTGCCAATCAGTGCCTGTATCTCAAGAATCTTGGCAAGGTTATGCCTGCTCTCCCAGGGCCCTTAGTGGGTGGAAGGACAGGGGACCATGGGGAGAAAGCTCAGGCTAGCCCAGCCCACCCCCACCAACCAGCCTGCTCACCGCAACTGGGTGAGGGAGTCCAGCTTTGCTGGATCTAGGCCTGAAAAACCACTCCAGCTAATCCAACCCATAGAAATTTAAGCGAAATAAGTGGCAGCTGTTTTAAGCCACTGAGTACTGAAATATTTTGTTACACAGTAAGAATCCTTTCCCCTGCCCTATGAAGTTTCCACACATCATGACGTTTTACATTTGCAGGTAGAAAAGGAAATTAATTCTGCCTTCCAGTAGGCAAGTAAATGTGGGTAGGAAACATTATCCTCTACAGGTAGTTCCCTTTCATCTTTTTTACTAGGTAGCCAGAATGTACTTAGTTTTCTTATGAGATTAATAGCAGATACAAGGTTTTTTCTTACCAGTCTGTTTGTCAAAAAGACAAAAATAAAACCAACAGGTGACACCTCAGCATACCATACAGATCAGGTATAAGTTGGATCACGAGGCTATAATGAATCCTGTTTTAGCAAGCCATGAAAAATCTTTTATGGTTAAATGTAAGTTTAAAAATCTCTTTATCATGTCCCCAAATAATTTTTTATTATTGCTTTCATTTCATTCTGTTTACATTTGTCAGCTACATTTCCATACAGACACAGACCTTTATTTGCTATCCACTTCCTATCATTTAGTTGCCTTCGGAATGATACAGCATTAGTAGAGATCTGTTTAATATGTTATGAATCAAAAGGTATAAATTTTTCCCCATTTTTGTTATATCTCACTCTGGATGGATGTTAACTAAAAGGGCAGAAAAGACGGTAAATCCCCACCAACATTTGATTCTGGCACTGCAATTATTTCCTGCAGTTCTTTACATCTGCAGAGTGAAGATCCCATAAATTATAGAGCTGTCCACTGCTTCTGCATGAAAAGTCACAATCAACTGCTACCACCCAGCATTTTCAGGAGAATTGAAACCAGGAGAAAGACTCAACAATGCACAGCCATTCTCTTTATATGGACATTTATGGCCATTAAAGTCTGCATAGTGACCACTATTAACACTTTTACCACCTATTAGATGTACAAAATTACTTTTAAATTGCTTAGATGTTTTATCATTTCTCCACTATTGAGGAAAACCAGTGCTCACTGGCCACAGCACGTAAATCCACCCAGATGACTTCTTTCCAGACTGACTTAACATTCTCTTTCCTTGCAGGAGAACCAATGCCAAGAGAAACGCACCTGTAGGATAATAAGCTCTTTTCTATTCACAACATGAAGATTTGGTTTGGAATTTAAATACAGGGATATTTTCTTCCAGGCTAAGTTACAGATGCACAATTATTTAAGAAGAAAGGAGGGCCTAGTGCTTAAACATATTTATGGCATTCATCTCTAGAAAGATAAAATACAAATCTATGTCAACTTTATTCCTTCTTGAACTTTGCCAGCACCTTCTGTTCACTTTGTGGGCAGGCAGACCCAGTGTCCTATTATTTTTGTTCATCTTCTCCAGAGAGACAACAAGATTAAGAATGCCAACTGTAGGAATTTTTAGAGCTCTAGATGCTTTTTTTTTTTTTTTTTTTTGGTACGGGAGATTGAACTCTGGACCTTGCACTTGTGAGGCAGGCAGAGGTGCCACTGAGCTAAATGCTGGGCCCTACATGCCTTTTAAAAAGATAGCTAGCTGCCAAGTATCTGTTGCCTCTGACAGTGAGGATAAATAAACTAGGTAGGACAAGGGCATGTATTGAACCTAGTTCTGCTCTAGGAGATATACAAACTTAAAAACATTCATGGGGGAAAACAAGATTTTATTTTCTTCCTTTTAGAAAAAAGAGGACACGGAATATTTGTTAGAAAATAAAAGTCCCTCTATGTGTACCCTGCACCTCATTCCAGGCTTTACAAGTCTAGCCTTTCCTCAAAAGTTCTTAGACATACACTTGGAAAACTATCAGCAGAACACTGTGATAAGAAATATACATATCACCTTGAAGAAGTCTTTTGAATAACGCCTTAAATAGTTTTTTAAAAAGTGCAGGAAAAAAGTATCAAAAAAAAATGTTATGAAAGAAAGTGAAATAATAAACATAGGGAAGAAACTACAGACCTGAACAGAACAAGACAGTCATAACCAAAGATGTCAAAAAGAGGCAATTACTGATGAAGTGATCATGAGCTAGGGCAGCGGGAGAAAGCCACAAACGGTAGTAAAAGGTGGACCGCCCGGAAGGCCAGCAGTTTGTACCTGTGTGAGAGGTTAAGAGGCAGTGCTAACAGTGAGTAGTCACAATGCATCTTCACTTTTTCAAAAGTCGCTGGTTCTCTGAAGGTGGGTGGAGGACGTCAGGTAACTTTGCACACCTGTATGATCTCGGCCAAAGTCGGGAGGAGCCGGTGCCCCGCGGTGCCCTGTCGTCCGGCCGGCGCAGAGGCC